AGTCCACAAGTCTTAAAAGTTGCCAAGGTTGGAGACCCCTGAGGTAGATTTTTTATTTAAGAAGGGACGTTGTAGGAATAGAGCCAACTTACTCTATGCTTGCCCGAAATCCGATCTATCTAGCATCTTTTTAAGATTAATTAACGGAATTATAATGCATAAGCTTTAGCGAGCTGCAGCTAACAGATGTGTGGAGTGACTGAACTAATGTAGAGCTCAAATCTATAGGGTTGAGGGGAGAAAGGAAAGGGAGACTACAGGTACATCACCATTTAACCATTGTAATGTGTGGAACCCCATTGTGTCCTTCAGACTTTTGAAATCAAGACTAATGGTTGAGCAGTTTAGCCACCAGGTCTTCTATTATAGATCTCAAAGTAAAGAGTTTCAGAAGAAAGAAAGTCTGCTAAAAAAAACAACACCCCAATGGAAATCAGTTTAATTTTAAGGCATGGTGGTCAAATCTGCTTTACCTTTTTCAATTAGCAACTGAAGTTCATCTTGTGTGGCCCTCAGGCAGCAGATTAAAAATATTAATGTTCCATTACATTTCATGTCTCTTTCCAAGATGTTCCTGACCATCTAACTGCCTAAAGCAACTTACAGTCCCTTTGTTTAGGAGGGCATTCTTTGATGCCTTTCAGTTTTAGAAAGGAGTAATAAAGGCATCCAGTTTGGATTAAGGTTTTGCTAGTGTGGTGAACAGGCTATTAAAACTGTTAAATGTATTTTATTACACACAGATTTATATACATTATATAAATAGTTAATTTATACAGCACTGCCCATTTTATGCTGGCCCACAACATAAATCCCTAGTCATTCTGATTAATTTTACTTATTTTACTCTCAGTTATCCATGACACTGTTAGCCTAAGTGTATTTAACTTCTGCTATGTCATATGTATGCATATGTATTTGACTGATTTTAAACTATTAAGTTAATAAATAAGTGTCTTTATTGTAGTTAAAGACCAATACAAAATAATACTGGTCTCTGACTACAATAAAGATACTTAATTATTCTAATGCTAACTTAAAAAAAAGGTGGTTGGAACAGACAATACATCCATCTGGATTGTTTCTTTTATACCTTTGCTGGGCAGCCTTATGCTGTTGAATATACCTATTTAAGTAACAGGTTCTATAAGCAAAATCAGATTCTTGATCCATGGCATCCCTGCAAGTTTCAATTTTAGGGCTAGTTACAGAGTTAGTTGTCTATAAGATGGTTATAAGTACTGAAAACAGTCTGATTGGGTAAATGAGATATTACCATTCTTACTTAGTCCAATTTATAGTTTATCTTTGTCAGTTTAAGGAAATATGATCTGTTTTCATGCAGCCTGGCCTGAATGAAAATCTCACATCATTTTGCTTGACTTTCTTGTGTGCAGGTACCACTAATGAAGGAACTTCAGAAATATGCTTTTGTCAAGCATTTTAACAAATGAAGGAAAAGAAGTTCTCATTTCGAATTGGCCGTCTAGTTGATTTTCTTCTGAGGATGATAAGCATGGATTTGGTTTAATGAGATAAATATATTAGTAACATCAATCATTTATGATTCCAGATTTTCGGACAATCTGTCCATTTCCTTATTTTTCATATATTTACTACAAACTGGTTCTTTTTTTAAAAAAAAAATTCAGTTTTAATTATTCAGTATTATGGGTTTTTTCCTCCCAATAAGAAATTGGGTTTTGCAGACATTAACATTCCTCCCTGTGTCAACAAAGCAAAACTTCACAGCTGTGTATAGGCGTTTTACTTCTACTACCCTGTGTAGATGGGCAGAGTCGATAGATTCTAAAGCATTTCATCCAGAAATGAAAATAAAAGATAGCAGTATGATGAAGAAAAAAACTGGTAAAAATAGATTTCCCCCAAAGCCTTTCAGTGCATTTGCTGCTGGATCATCCAAGATGAGGGCAATATGCAATACAAATAATGCAGTTGCAAATGATTCTCCTAGTCCTTTGAACATAGTCTCTCCTCCGGATACACCTTTGAGTGCCAAGGAATGGGAGAAATTAAAAGAAGAATATCAACACTTTAAAAAATTTGAAAATGTTATGTTTGAGAGCATGATAACTAATCATAGCCCAGTAGATGTGGCTAAATCCTTGCTGGTTGCAATAGCTAAACGTGATGGAGACATTGAATATAATTATTTGGTGATGTACTTGGCTATATGTGTTTTTCATAAGGACATAGAAGAGATTTATGACATCTATAATATTATGAAAGCCAAATATAAATCTTTAGAAGCATCAGCTTATTCTTTGCTCATCAAAGGCTTGAGGGATTCCCCACACTGGAAAGAGACCTTGGTACTACTGGAAAAAGTTAAAAAAGTCTCATTCCATTCAAAACAAAATTATGGAGACTGCATTGAGGGTGCGCTACTCCACCAAGAAAGAAACCTTGCATTTGAGTTGTTTCATGAGATGGTAGCTGAAAATCTGACTCCTGCTTTGACAACAATAAAGCTTTTCTTCGACTTTTGCCAGCCTGTGAAGGATGACCATTTGAAAAACAAATGTACTGATATCCTCTACTACTTAAGAAATCATCAAATTTATCCTGACGAATCTCTCATGCTGAGCATAAAGCAGTGGTTTGAAAGGTAAATAAAGCTTGTCCAGTATTAGTTGTTCTTCGTATTTTAGATGAAAGTTGCATAAAATTATTCTCACTTTAAATACTGATTAGTAAATAATCTGCTTATGTTGTAAAAGTTGATGAGAAATATATGTAACTATCAAATATATGGGAAGTTTGCACACATTGCTGTAAGCCATCTGTGTTATATCTTCAAGATTGGTTTAATGAGTAATACCTAATTCATATGAACAGCAATTAATTGTTATTTACAAACTTCAGCTATTGTGTACTTATAAGTAAAAAACTCAAAGTCAGATGATGCTCTATATCAGGCCCATCAAACTGGCGACCACAGGTCAGATGCTTCATGCTCAGGCTCTGCAAAGGCAAACAGCATTGTGATACATCACATGACACGATTGAGTTTGACACCTTTGCTCTACATGATACGCAAACTCCTCATCCTACGAATATGCTGTTATTTTTTGCTTAGAAGTTTATTATCTCTTAAGCCAATGGTTGGGTTTATACATCAGACTGAGTTTCAGTTGCTTAGCCATGGAATATTCATTAAGCAACAATTTTCTTGTTTGTTCAGCTTACTCAGTTGTAAATCATTTTATAAATCTTCATTTATAAATGGAACTTAACTACAAATAGGAAAACCATATTATGGCTTATATGGTAGATTGCTTATAGCATAGTGCGATATGTAAATCTAGTCAATGAGATAATTAAGCAGTTACTATTGAATCTCCACATCAAAAAATGTCATTGTCAAAGCTGCTATTTTTAAAGAAACTTAACACATTTACAAAAAATTGAATAGGGAAGTATAAGTTGTAATGCAACATTTTCTTTGAACGTAGTATATAACAATAGCACTTAGTCATATATACCACTTTATAGTGCCCTCTCTAAGCGGTTTACAGAGTTAGCATATTGTCCCCAACAATCTGGGTCCTCATTTTACCCACCTCGAAAGGATGGAAGATTGAGTCACCCATGAGCCTGGTGGGATTTGAACTGCCAAATTGCAGGCAGCCAATAATCAGCAGAAGTGGCCTGCAGTACAGCACTCTAACCACTGGGCCACCGAGGTGCTAGTATATATTAAATGATTACTGAAACAGGGAAATGCTGCAATATTTTATATTTAATTTTAATTGAATAGTTATTGCCAAGCTCTGTCAAAGCAGACAGAAACTTCCTGCAACTTCCAGAGAATCAATACAATTAGAACACTTCCTTTATTGTAATTCAGGAAATAACAGTCCCTGAGCCCTGCAGATTCTAAGCCTTTATTTTCTTCGGATTCAGATCAACTGATTTTTCTACACTTGCTTATAAGAATTGCTAGTTTATATTCTCTGTGTCCCTGCTTGTGAATTGTTAGCTCCTAACAAAACCCTGTCAGCTAGATTGGAAGTAATACCCGTATACTCTTAAATAATGGGGTTTAGGTGTATGTAACTGCATAGATTTGCAGTTACACTTTAATTCTATATATGACTGGTGTAGCCTGTTAATTTTAAGAAAAAGCTTGTGTTTAAATATAAATCCAGTTCATTATTGATGCTTTCATTTGAATCTAATAGCAGGAAATGCTTCTTTTCCATGTGTTTAAATTATTGTAAATGGATTCTAATTTTTATCCATTTTAATAGTATTCCAGGGGAAAACTGGAAAGGAAATTTAACAAGCATGAATAACAGGTAAATATATTTCTTTAAAGTTCTGTCTCATGTTTAGCTTCAATTCTTCAAATAGAACAGAAAGAAAGATTTTCATGTTCCACTCAAGGGTTATATAATTCTAGGCTCTTTTTCTAATAATTTTGCAAAAGTATGTTAAAATTCATAGGAAATCTGCCTTAAGAGTGTAGTGCAGTGCAATGCCTGAATATCCTCTTTATTTATTCATATATTTCTTGTAGAAGCTCAAAACATGCTTATAGTTGCAGGAAGAATATCTGTGAGATAGGTTGGGATGAGAGATAGTACCTCACTGTTACCAGAGGAACTTCTGTGGCTGCGGGTATACATGAGGGTTTCCAAATATTAGAAAATCTGTAAAGATTTGTGTAGTTAAATGATTGATAGGATTGAGAATTTCCCCCATTCCCTGACCATAAAAATAAGATTGTTCCAGTAGAATCTGAGCTTCGTGCAGGCTCTTTAAATTACTCTGCTCTCTCTTAATTTGTCACAACCAAGAACAGATTAAAATATTTTTGTTTTTTTTTTGTGTTCTGACCAAAGTGTAAAATGTAGTTAAACTTAATTATGATAAATTGAAACAAGCCAGATCATGGATTTCTGAGTGACAGGTTTCAATAAATCCTAATTAATATTAAATACAGTTTAATACAGTTTGTCCTATTGCTACTTAGATTTCATGTCTTCTTGTGACTATGCTGGAAAAAAAGGAATGAAAGAGTGCATAAACTTTTGATTCATTTAGGTTTATGTTGAAATGACCTGTTTGAAGCTTTTTCACATAACTCTGAAAGTTTACTTAATATTTAATAAATATTTAAATATTTTTCTATCCAAATAATCAATCAAGCCTTGTAAATAAGCCATCAGAATATTACCAGATACTTGTTTTGCAAACCTGCCAGTAGCATAGTTAACTTCATTTCCGTGCTGTCTGCAAAAGAATTGTTTCAGAAACCAGCATGCTATAACAAAACTAACAAAAAATGGTTGCTAATTCAATAGACTGATTCAGTTGAGCTTGCATATGTAGATTTTTTGGACATCTTGTACTACCAGCCTAAAGGAAAACATAATGAGGCTTAAGTTATATAATAAGGAAAAATATATTTAAGATGCTAATATTTTATAAATAGATAATGAAATCATTTCATTATATGATTTTATTGTTACTGTAGTGGGCAGTGTCCATCTTGTGGTCACTTTTTGGAAGATATTAATCTGAGTGAAGAAGAATACATCAATGTCAAGGAAAAAATAAAAAGGGATGTGATTGAAGGCACTGATGTATTTCGAAATACATCTCCCCAGGTGAGTCTTAATTAAAGTTCTTTTTATATTGATTATATTTTTCTGTAACATTATAATATTGCACTACGTGGCACAGGGCCTGGTTGCCATAACATTTGCCTGGCCAATTCGATCCTGCAGGGTTGGTACATTCTCTATAGCAACACTTGCCTTCTGAATGTGAAGACTTGGCTAATCACCCAAGTCTTTAAAGTAAGAAAGAATGAGACCCTATGCATCATCATACATGCCACCTTTTACCTTTATCTGTTACATTGTATTGACTTTATTTTAATTTCTTTGAACGTTGTGAGCTGCCCAGGGTAGTTGAGAGTCGAGCGGTATGTAAGTTAAATAAATAATTGATTTTGCTGCTTTTATTAGTGACATGACATTTTTAAGATCTTTCTTTAAGTAGTTATAATCTAAGTCATATAATTGACTTGCTTACAGATGTGACAAGCCACACGCAAAGTGACTTTATAATTGTATATGCTTACAGAGACATCCAAAAATGATTTGCAAAGCAGCGGGGCAAGTCCAGAGAAGGACATGATTGCTTTTAAAGTACAAATGCTTTTCAGCACATAAGTATCTCTGTCCTCAATAGTTTTCAGAGACAGAGATACTTATGTGCTGAAAAGTATTTTCAAAGGATCTATCTACACAGCCTACTATATTGCATGTATGGTAGGAGAGAAAAATGGCCACTAGATGGTGGTATTGTATCTTGGATCTGAGGTTTGTTTTGGCTTTGTTGTATCTTGTATATTAATAACAAGACCAGTGTCTGAAAGCTATCTCCCCATATTTTGCCTCCAAATATATATTTTGATTTTATTTAACTGCTAAGTAAGAGCATCTTACCAAGGAATTAATAAGGTATGTGGTTTGCAGATGTATGGAGGTAGTCATCAGTTTAAAATCACAAAAGACACCAGAAAATCTGCCACTAAGTAATGCGGTTGTTAAGTGTGGCACCACAGTTTTAACAACTTTTTTCATGTGGTTATTAAGCAAATAACTGTGGTTATTAAGTGAGTCATGTGACTGGGACTTGCAGTGTTCACTGCTGGCTTCCCCATTGACTTTGCTTATTGGAAGCTAGCTGGGAAGGTCACAAATGAAAGTCATGTGACTGCAGGACACTTTGATTGTTATAAATGTGCGATGGTTGCCAGGTACCCAAATCATGATTACATTACCACAGGGATGTTGTGAGGATTGTAAGTGTGAGGGCCAGCAGTCTCTTTTTTAAGTGCCATCGCAACTTCAAATGCTCACTAAATGAGTATTTCTAAGTGCTGATTTTTTTAAAAGAAGGATTTCTCTCCCTCCCTTTCTCTCTCTCTCTCTCTCTCTCTCTCTGTGTGTGTGTGTGTTTATATAAATATAAATAAATAAAATATTTGGATGCTGTGATATTAAAGGAACTGGCTGCGCTCTTTTCAGAGTTTGATGGCTGTGTCAATAGCTGCCCCTGGTCCCACTGCTGGGTATCCCAGTAGAAGGGTTGCCTATACATAGTGTAAAATCGTTTTGGGAAAGATAAAGAAAGGCATTTCTCAGTTTACAGATTGCTCACTGAATGTGAAAATCAGTACTTTTTGAACAGCTGATATCAAAACATTTTAATCGATGTAATAAACATGAATTGTATTGGTGCAAGGTATGGTGATTGCAAACTTGTCTTTAATGCAGGTTTAGAGAACTTTATGGGGAGGATAGATCTTTCCATTGATAGTGATTGCTAAGTTTCCATGTTTAAAAGTGCTTTTCATGTTTTGAGGCAGTAGTCAGCTATGAGGATGTTCTGTTAACTTTCTGATTCTGACCATTGCTGGAACTCATCTGCTGGATCATGTGAGTGGTTGATTTGACTCAGCAAAGTTGTTTTTCAGCCAGTAATGATAGCAAATGCTAATGGTTTGCTAAGTCGGTTAAGCAGCAACATTCAGGAATTGCTCAGGGTTGGAAATGTTTGGGTATTTTACACACAGCTGGGTTTTTTTCTGGAAGGAATTTATTGTGGGAACAGCTGAAACCATTGGTTTGATAATATCTTTTTTATTTGGATATGTGTAGGGTATTTAGGGAGATTCCATCTATGGCTAATAGTTTTTTCAATCAGTTAAGGAAAGGAAATCAGATATGTGTTACATCTTTTCAGCGAATGCTTTCCTTGATTTTTTTGTACAAAACATTTTAGTGTTTATTTGTTACTGACTCATCTAAAATTTTACATAGTTACATATACTGATTGGACAATTCTGTAGTGATATTTTTAGAAGTCTGCATGTTGCTAAGTTAATTTTTAATTAAGTAAACAATATTTGTTACTTTCAACTACTAAAAGCTAGAATATAGAACCTTTCTAATAGTTTGACACTACTAATTATTATGCTTACTAAAAATGTAGAAAGCGTCAAATTTGCAGAAATTTGTATGAGCCATTCATTGATAGCCCTTTATCTCAGTTGTAATGGTTACATGAAGACATAACATTTAAGAATAGAGGTTTCTACTGATTGTAGAAGATACTTTATGTTTCAAAATAACCAATGAAAATGTTACTGATGCTAACATTATTAAATTCAAAGACATTTCATCATTTTATGATTGAATAACAAGACAACAACACAAGAAAACCCCAAAGAGTCGGGGAAATGTTTAGTGACAAGGGTTAACAATATGTTTGTATTACCAAGGAGTGCAGGAAGCGGCAGTATACTAAGATGGCATGTAAGGGAGATTAGAGGGGTTTTTTATTCTCCAAGTTTTGTGGCGTATTTCTTTGTTTTTAACTCTGTCCAGGCTATTTTAGATTTTTGTTGTTGCTGTTATTCAGATTTTTGTCTTTCTTTTCCTCAAAATTTTCATCAGTTTCTAGCAGTTGTAAGAAACACTCTAGGTCAGGAGCTGCAAACATTGATTCAGATCGACATAAAGCTTTGACGCTTGGGACTTGCCCACTTCATTTAACTGCTCTTTTGTAGCTGTGGAGAGGCCAAACAGGCCAAAAGTTTTTATCTGCTAACCTGTTTTTATAGAGGTACTAAAAAATTATGCAACAGCATTAAAAGGACCTCCTGTTTTTTTAGCTAAAGAAAAATGTCATTTTTCTATCATGGTAGAAATAACTTTTGACCATTTGTAGGTTTTATTTATTTTATAATTGTGTAGACATCACAATGGAAGTGAGTCTCTATTTTTTGCTAACTATTAGAGTAATCTGCATTTGTGATCAGGCGGATATATACACATGCTATTTCCTATGAAGTCACAATGACTCAAAAAAAAGCACCTGCCATTCTTTATGGTTATGTTGAAAATTAGAGTGCAATTTGGTATAAATGAATTACTGGTGATACTCTTTGTTTTGCTGATGATTATGATATAAATGTTATTAAGATAAGTTTAATATAGAAATTAAATTTATGGCTTATAGATTTGTGAAGTGTAAATATTCAAAGAAAAAACGCAATACTTCTGTTCTGAAAGAACACTACTCATTCAGGTAATCCTTGCATTATGACCACAATTGGGATGAGGATAATATACTCCCAGTATGTTAGCTAAGTCACCACACCATGTTATGAGTAGTCATTGACTTTTGATGAATTGCTTAATTACAACTAAGTTACAATACCCACCCCTCAAAAAAGCTTCTTACAACCTGGTTTTGAAATTCTGACTGCCCCCCCCCCCACACACACATTGCACTTTAGGGTACTCAGCAACTGCCCCACATTTACAGCAGTCAAATGACTGCAGTTTATGACATTTTTGCCTGAAACTGGCGTTTACTTCCAGTTTCTGGCAAAACCCACCCTATAGCAAATAATGGGTTCACTTAACAACCACAACATTAACAATCTACATCTTTGGATTAAAGATGAGATAATTGGTCTAATGATCATGTAGAAAGCTAGTAACATCTGGATGATGGATGGAAGCAATGCAGGGGTGGGATTCTACCAGTTCTGTCCGGCTCGGTAGAACTGGTAGCTCTGAAGAGCAGCAGACATAGAACCGGTTCTATGTCTGCTGATGTTTTGGCCTACCCGCCCGCCCGGGCTCTTACCTGACTTTTATTTCCTGCTTTTTCAACCTCAGCTGCCGTGTGAGGCACAGGTGCAGTTGAAAAAGCAGGAAAAAAGTGCTTTTTCAAATGCTGCTTCTCTGCACACACGCAGCACTGCTCAGCTGTCCAGGCAGCAAGCTGATGATGATTTACAGGCACGCCCGTGATGGGAAGCACATCGTAAATCACCGAACCTCGTAAATCACTGAACCAGTAGTTAACCCTGTCAGATCCCACCCCTTGAAGCAGTGGTCCTGAATTTGCTTCCCTGTAGTATCATGGCCAGGTCTGTTGCTTTATGCAGAATTTCAGGTAATACAGAAAAAAAAAGAAGTAAAAAGTCATTTTTAATGCAAGAAAAGTTTCCTACAATAATCAATCTGCTTGTTACAGCTTTCAGTCCTGCAGAGAATTAGCATAATTTGAATTCTGTTTTGTCTGGTCACTTTGACTTATCCAGCCAAAGTGCAGAGGAAAGTGTAGAGTGAATCATTGATTTTATTCATAAATAAATTACACAAATTTGGAGCGGGAGGGATCTTCTGGCAACTGCAAGATTTGAAAAGTGATTAATTTTTCACTGTATCAGGTTTTAAATGTTACCAAGAATTATGCTACTGCTCAGAAGGAGAAAGATGCCTCCTCCAAGGACCGTCTTGATCAGTGCCTAAACTGGCAGCTGAACCTGCCTAAAGAGTTCAATAACCAGTATATTGCAACAGTACTGAAAAACTCCTGGTTTTTAGATACATTGTAATTTAGATTTTTGAACTGTGTGTAGAACAAATGCATAAACATTCAATACTGACTAAAGAATAACTTGTATGATTGCATGCATTTATGTATAGATGTGAGGGATGCCTAGTATACTAATGTCAAATTGCAAAGAAGAGCATAAATGTGAACAATTAGATTATAATGTAATTATAATACATTG